AAAAAATGTCATTTAAATTTACTTGTTTTTCTCGTAAGTACCCCTTTTTGGAACCAAACCATCATCATCACATCAAGCTTAACGGGCCTTTAAGGCCCAACGCTGCCATCATGAGATGGTTTCTTGACGAATTCGCTTCCGGGACGGGTCGTCAATCCGTCGCCGGAGAGGGGGATGGCGGTTCCTTTTTACCGGACGATTGCTTGCCCAGCAAACGGAGTGCCTGTGACCGAGTGTCGAACCGGCGACAGTGAGCGCTAACACACTGCCGCCTTACCCACTCGGCCACTCCTCCTCCTTTTGGAACCAAATAGGAACGGAAATTATATAATTGAACGTTTTGTTTTCTATTTTGTTAATTTTGCAACGGAACAATGTATAAAACGGTTCTCTTTATTTAAGGAACCGACCCACTACTTACTTCGGTGTATTTCCTACATCTAAATCCATACACACGAAACTCTTGTAAGTCAAACATACAATACGGTACTTTTCTGGAATCAATTTTAATAAAACAAAATGTATTTTGAGAAATTCTTCAAAATACTGGTTACTTCAGTATACTTTATACTATAGATAGTTGTACAGTTGCCCATTCATTTTAAGAATTTGAATGTTTATGGATCATAGATTTTGACTGTTCGAAGATAGTTGTTTAACTCATCTTATTAAATATATTTAGTATGATCTATAATATTTTGTATACATGTTTTAAAGTAACTTGCAAAAAATTGCCATATCACAAACTTATTAGACTATATATCATACTATATTTTCATCTTAACATCTTTTATACCTAACAAACTATATTATCTACCTTAGTAGAGATAAGTCCTGAATTTGACTTTCTGCATACGATTTTTTTTTGTAATTGAATGATAATCCATAACTTTTATTATCGTATGTATTCAAAATCTGACTGATTTTCAAATAAGCCCAAATTCTCTATAAAAAATTTGTATTTTTATATAATTTAGAAATAACTGAACAATACTTAAAAAATATTTATTAACAAAAGTATAATACCTATTTCTATTCTATCGTTATGAGTATTAGTGTATCCTATTGTTGTAGTATAGTTTTGGTGGTATATGTATTGAAATTTATGAGGTTTTATTGTATCATACTTCCCTGCAACCATTATTTCCGATCTATCTATTTAATGATAATGGAATGTATTTTGTGTCGTGTCAACTGTTTGCTCCTTAAAATATATTTAAATATAAAATCATGTTATCACTAATTTGAATTAGTTGTTCAACACTTATACATAGTGTCTGATTTGAATAGGACGGTTATTTGGTTTTCTTCAAATATTATGCTCACACATTTGTTATACCTTCAAATTACATTATTAAATATACTTTATTTAAGAGAAACGGAAAGCGTCAAATTATATACAAATAAAAACTAAAACAAGAAGTTACTTTTTGAAGTGTCTACCGAAAAGATTTCAAATTGTTTTTATTAAGTATAACATCTTCTCTATGGGGGCTGAAAAGGTCGATTTTTTATTTATATTTTCAAAATTTTACTATAAGCGTTTATATTTTTACTTTTTAGGTTTTTCCTAATAAATCTAACTAATTTACTGATAGCTAAAAAAAAAATCTATCTTTAAGTCCCCATAGAGAAAGTAGTAAGCTTTAAAAAAAAAAAAAATCTATCCAATAGATACGCCAGAAAATGACTTCTACGAAAGTCTTTTTTTATCAAACTTTTGCTAAAACTCGGAGAAAAATAACTTTGAAAGTTTTATAACTAGAAAAACTTAATATTTTTTACATTCAAATTAATCAGCATACTTAAAAGGGTTACTAGATCCATTTTTGTCAAATATTGCATATTGCGCAATTCTTACATTCTTAGATATGTCTTGAAAATAATTGTGACCCAATTCAGCTACTTTAAATCCTTTGGTTATAGCGGCACCAATGTTAGAAACTAATCATTAATATTGTTTAGTAATATCAACATATTTAACTATTTGTTCACTTACAGTCTTTCCGTTGCAATGAACCTATCACGCGTTTAACATTATTCTTATTTTGTATGTTAGCGGTAATTATACAGTCTTTTTCAGTAACATCCGTTGTAAGAATGGCTTCGTTATCACTTATCGTCAGAACCTAAAACTAAAAGTTCAATTCGTATGTAATTATAATCAACTATAACATTTACCTGAGCGTATTGCCAATAAATGATTAATGAGAAATGGTCTTCGGGATTAATTTCGGTTATAATCCTATTCATAGCGTTTTTCATTTGTTCTATAATTCTTCCGCGCATTAATGCGCTTATGGGGAATGGAAAGCGCTATTTATTAAGGGGCAATGGATAGGCAATATTTAACAAAAATGTATCTAATAGCCATTTTTTATATGCCTACTAATTTCAAGGTGAACACATATTACAATTTTCTAATTATAATACTTTAAAAGTTATTTTTCTTCGAGTTGTGACGAAAGTTTGATGAAAAATGACTTTCGCAGAAGTCATTTTCTGGCGTATCTATTGGACAGGTTTCAAGTTTTTTTTTATGCGAAGCTTACTTTTTTTTCTATAGGGGGTAAAAGGCCGATTTTTGATTTAGCGATTAAAAAAGTAGTAAGATTCATTAGAAAAAACTACAAAAAAGTAAGTATAAAAATGCTTATAAATATTTTTTGAAAACAAAAATAAAAAATCGGCCTTTTAGCTCCCATAGAGAAGATGTTAAACTATAAAACAAACAAAAAGTTATTGAAATCGGTTCGGTAGACACTTTAGAAAGTGACCCGCGTTTTAGTCTTACTTGTAAAAAAATTGACGATTTCCGTTCCCCTTATGTCTAACACAAAAATTGAATGAGTTCTGATATATTTGTTGTACTTAAGAGATGCGTCGAATAAAACAAAGTATAAAACCTGCCCCCCCCCACTATAAATAAAACCAAGTATAAAAAAATAAATCTCATTTTATTGTGATGTACAAAGATTTTTGAACTAAGATTCATAAACCAAGATTCATGATCGTACAATGTGACAATGTGTAAGTGTAAATAGTGTAAACGTATTATTAAATTCTTAATAATGCAAAAAAAAAAACAAAGAGAAACGTTTTTTAAAGTTAGAAAGCCAGCAGTTGGGTCTACAAGGACATTCATTACCTAATCATAAGACAATAATTACTAAAAATATTGTAAAAGGCGTTACAAAAAAAAATTAAAAATATTAAACCTTAATTATTTCAAGGGAAAAAGAGGTCATATCTGTATAATGTATATGGGTCACAACACTAAATATGAATGATGAAACGGACCGACCCCCGCCGATATTTTTGAAAATTACACTGCATATCTGGTACGATAAAAATAATGTTCTCTAAATTTTTTGGATTTTTTTAAAATTATTATGGTCGTAGAAAGTGTTTTGAGTTTTTGACTTGATGCTACTTTTTATCGTTTTTTTATGGTATTTTGGGCCATCAAAAAAATGAATAAAAATCAGTTTCCTTTGTTAAAAAATCACAGAAATTTTTTTTTATTCATTACAATTAAGTTTATAATCAAAAAAGTTAATTTTTTGTGTTGTCCAAATTTGATAATTTTTTTTCGGAAGTATGAATTTACATAAATAATGTAAATATAATATTATATTGATAATGTAAGTTATGTAAATATAATACATTATGTTACATAATGTAAATTTCAAATTGGGTTTTCCATAAAAACAAAAACAAGAGTGACATAACATAGAATTGTCGAAATACCACAAATTATCTTATTTGTACACATAATTATTTGAACTATTTTGATTACTGTAGTCGTTTTTTAGACACGTCAATCATCAAACGGTTCTCAATATTAGTTGCGGCATGTCCCCACTACACTGGCATACCTAATATTTTTAGTTTATTTTGGAGCGGCAGGCCGACCGAATTTGTAGCGGACAGCTCTAGTAATGGTGGGAACTTCCCACATTATTATAATTTTATTAATATATTTTTTTTTATTAATTTTTGTTAATAATTATATTATTAAAAATATATTTAACTATTCTATTGACTAATATAACTTTTTATACACAACTTCACCCCAATCAACTGACAACTCGCATAGTGTGATCAGTTCTGTCCTACCATTCGGTCACATTTATTGGTCTATAAAAAGGAAAATTTTAAATAGGAATGCTCGGATTCGTGTGTAGTATACAGTAAACACGGTCTAGAGTGCTAAGGTTTTTCATTTGTCACTTAGCTCCGCGACACTATTAGCGTGTTGCTGGATAATATGATTATTAATTATTTTAATGTAGTTTCTTGGCCTATACCTTCGCCGTAGACGTTAAGTAAAAGTAATCGGAATGTACTGTAGTCTGTATACATCAATTTATATAATTTCCATCGTACGATGCTACATAAAATACAACTAAAATAAATGTTTGTTTTAAAAAATTGTCTTTACAATTTACTGCATTTTAATTTTTTGCCTATTTTCCAACAATAAGTCGAGCTAAATAGTTTATTATATGAAATATGATGTATATTTTAGCTATGTACATGTCATGCCAAATTTGTATAAATATCAGTCAAATATAATTAATACATTATTATGAGTAGATAAGAGGAAAAAAATCTAAAACTAGTTTTTGACTTATTCGACTATCACTAATAAACTATCATTTCATTTTGGATTATTTTTTTAATGCTAAAAACCATATTAGCTGTAAAATTTAGACAAATATAAAAATGCTTGTTGTTTTAAAAGAACGACTTAAAATCCTTCGCGAATTAATCTAGTCCATTAATTGAAAAACCGGTGTACACTGTACACCTGGATTAGTTAACATACGGAATAATGGTTTTGTGTTTTTTTTGTTTAAAGCTGATTTAATGTCTGGCGCTAGAAACGCGTTAAAAAAAACAACATTGAATATCATTCATATTAGCTGATATATATAATAACTGACATTCACGAAGGTCAACGAGAGTTAACCGTTTGCTGTCGATAACCGTAAGTTGTTTCTCGATTAGTAGCTGAACCGCAGCAACGGCTGTTACACCGGTTATATTAAGTTCGATAAAGATAGTGTTTCGTTTTTGAATTGCCATTAAGAAAAAAAAATGGTAAAGGCGAAAAAATTCATTTTGGATAAATCGTTTGCCGGGGCTCCTAAAGAAGATAATTTTAAACTAGTCGAAGAACAGCTTGGAGAATTAAAAAAAGGAGGTAAATACTTGTTTTTAATGATGATATGTATAAAATAATCGTTATCTATAAACAATAATTTCATTATATAATAATTTAATTAAAACCGTATGGTGTTTATAACGCGGTTGGCTTAATAAATTATACTTATCGTATTCGATTTACTTGAAGTTGCGGACGTATTTTTATTTTCGTTAGAATGAAAAAATACAAAGAATCACATTCAATGGTATTAAAATAACCGACATGTTAAAAATAACTTAATTTTTATGTATTAAACAAGAATAGGTAATCTATATAAATATGTATTATATACATATAAAAATAAGCTATTTTCTGTATAATAACATCCACTATGCCTAAATACTACGATGAAGATGTTTAATAAAAGGTACAAAATATAAGAAGTGATTTTTAAATAAAATATTAAAGTTGATGTTTAAACAGTTAAGCGTTATTACAGAGTTTATGATTGGCTGTACTTTCCATTTTTTTTTACCAACCAATGTATGCAGTTATATATAAAACATTTTTTTATGTCTTACTAATATTATAATTTTTTATTTTAGAAATATTGGTGGAAGCTATTTGGATTAGTGTCGACCCATATATTAGGTAATAGTTAAAAATATATATGTATATTTGTAATTATTCATCAGCATAAGGAAGTAAACAAAAGTTGTGTTTTAATGCATTGTTCTTCACGTCATAATTTATTATTTTAGACCTTATTCTAACCATGTACCGGCAGGAACTACAGTTATGGGCTCACAAATTGCCAAGTAAGTTCGATTAATTACTAAATAGATGTATAGGAATTCATAATTAATTATGTATTAAAAAAAAAGACCTGTCATTTGCATTGTATAATGTAGATTTTGTTAAATAATTAGGTGACCCTTGATATTTTACATCCATTTATTCAGATTATAGTGTTGAATTTTAAAACGTAGACATAACGTTTAATGACCCACGACAAGTTAAAAGCCAAGTGATTACATTTTACGATATCACTGTATGCTAATATTCATATTATATTAGAATGAAAAACTAAATTGTTAAAATATTACATAAGTAGTATTCATAGTAGTTATTCGTTGTATAGTATAATAATATATAACAATAAAAATGTATTTCATCAACTATTAAAACGAATTTTATCACAGACTCTCGTCTATCGATACAATGATTTTATCCATAGTGATAGACGATGGAGTTTAAATTTTTAAATTCATATATTGTATATTGTATGTGAATTTAAATACTGTTAAGTTAATAAATAATAATAATAAATTATTATACATGTATTACTTCAGATTGTTTTAAGTATTTGTCTAATATTTTTTCCCGAATAAACGGTTAATAAAAATGTTGCTTTAACCTAGATCTTTTTTTTTTTTTTAATTTGTATTTTAAATAACATTTATAATCTGTACATATACAATAAATATACAATAGACAAATTAACAAAGTAAATAAATTACTGGGATACTCAGTAGGGAAGCTATCCAGTGACTTATGACAAGTTTCGGCAAGAAATTAAACAGTACCATTACAATTTAAAAGATCACGACACCAACGTCTTTTAAGACGGCGAGGGGGGTTGTCCGGAATAATGTCTGTGTGCTGACATGCTATTAATGGATTCGAGTGGAGAGGTAATTTTGAGTGGAACTTTTTATATTGAGTCTTAACTAAACTTTCAACTGATTACCATGAAGCGGACGTGATTATACGGAGGGAAATGTATTGGAAAGCTTCAATTCTTTTTAGTTAGGATGGTTTAGCACAACCCCATATTTGAGCTCCTTATGACCAAATTGATCTTAATACTGACTTATAAATAAGAATTTTGTTATGGAGCGGGAGTTTGGATTTTGGTACAGGACGTAGTAAGTGCGAACGAGTATTTAGTAGATTTTCTTTTTGGTTTTAGGTGGGGGTACCTAGATCTTCAAAAAAAAAAAAAAGAATCGTTAACTATAATTTATAATTGAGATTTTATCAAATGACGCTACAAAATGATTTTTTATGTGATATCAGGAAAAACTATTTAATTAGCAATGTTCAATACAAATTATATTATTTAACTGAAATAGGGTCTTAAAGAAGACAGTTAATCGAGTCTTTCTGTACGTATGTATTATCTTAATTTAATTGAAAATATAATCGAATATTCTACATAAACCATATTTAGATAAGAAATATTTAAAACAACAATTCCAAAATGTGAAAAGTTTTAAAATAACTTTATAAGAATGAAGTTGATACATTTTAAATGCAAATGTATGGATATTATATTGCTTGTAAATTAGTGTTGTTAAAAATTTTAACTGTTTGTATATTTGTAAACAATAATAAATAATCACACTTTTATTTAATGTTCACAACTCTGTTGTGAACATTAAAAACACAAAAGCCGTTAGGAATCAATTGCTATACATAACTCAAATTACCAAAAAATGCACATATCACATGCATTATGTTATTTATTTATTTGAGTAAACCAATATCTACAACATGAAAGAGTTTTTGTTTTCTTTTTTTTATAATACTACACTCCACCCTCCCTAGCTCCTAAATTAAGTACTTTAATTACTTTAAAGTTAATTATCCAAAACTAGTTAACAACATAAGCAGAAATCCTATTTAACATTGGGGGGGCTTAAATTTTTTAATTTTAGGTGTAGCAAACAGACCAGCGAAGACTTCGCCCCCACACCACCAGAGAAAAGTTTAGTTATAAAATATTTTACCACAACATACTTATTTGGTGAATGAATTAAAATAATTGTTAAATATTATAAATGTATTATTCTATTACATTTTTTAGAAAATGCATTTAAGATCGTTATGGTATTTAAATATTTTTTTAAAATCTTATTTCTGATTGTACAAAGTTGTAAAATATTCTTTTAATATAGCGATTAAAAAAAAAAGGGAAAAAATTTTTTTTTTAAATGCTAAAAACCACTAGTTTTTATAATATTTTTTTGGGGGGGGGGCTTCAGCTGTGTATTAATTATTTTAATCGTACATATTTTATGAAAAATAATTTTAACTGTTTAATTTGTTGTATTTTAAGATAAGTTAAAATAACTTTAGTGTTAAATTTATTACAAACTATACTTGTTAAATGTTAAAGTTTAGTCTAATTAGTAATTATAGTATTCAAGTGTTTTTAAGACCTACAATAATTAACTACGTTATTTTTTTCTAGAGTTATTTCATCAAATAATGAAAATTTCGCTGAGGGTCAATTAGTATTCTGTTCGACCGGCTGGAAGACTCATAGTATTATTAATCCTAGTCTATTGGAAAAAGATATAATGCCTAGATTTTATGCATTGCCTAACTTTGGAAATTTATCTTCATCATTGGGACTTGGAGTACTTGGAATGCCTGGGTAATTTTAAATGAAGTATATATATAGTTTTTTTAATATGCTATTTCTGTACTTGATATTTTTAGTATCTGGTATAAGGTTCTTAATTAGTTATATTTTACAAGAATAATAATTATTATTACAGACTAAAAAAAAATGGGTTTTTTAGTTTAAAGGTATATCAAAGAAAATTAAAAAGCTTTACACGATATAAATTATAAATAAACTGAATTTTGAACAACTGAATGGATTATTTGAAAAAGGGAACATTTTAAACAGTTGAAATTTTACAAAAAAGAAAAACTAATATATAATATAAAATAGCATGCATGATGCATGTAAAAAATTACACGTATGGCTGTTACTTTATGAATACTTGGATGTGTTTCGTTTTAACACCAAACGATGAATTCTGATCCAAATAAGATACTTCTTAAAAAAAATTAAAATTGGACGTGTTTCTTTTTCCAAGTAATCCATATAAGAAAAGTTTTAATGGCTTTTTTTATAGTGCAAGAAACCATTTTTATGTTAAGTTATTTTAAAACGATACTTAATATACAATTTTAATTATCCATATTTTTTTTTTTAATAACTTAATAAGGGAGTATTTTTAATCTACTTGTCTTTGAATTATTATTTATTACATCCTTTTTGTATTTATAAACTACTGTAAGACTTAATAAGGTAGGTCTAAGGTAGGTATTCACTAGTTTTCAGAGCGAGTTTCCTTGTCTAGAAGAAAAACACGTTAGAATATTCAATAATCAAGGCGACATTTTTAATGTAGTGAAGCTAGGATATTTAACTAAAAAATCAATATTATTTAAATAATTTCCTAAAGTGGATGTTACAAATTGTATAATTTGCTGTTCTTGCATTTGTATAGGTAGTCATCTATGTTCTAGAACGCAATGGAGAAACGACAGAGTAGATTACATATTTTAATATAATATAAACTAAGAAAATAGTAGAAACCTTCAAATATAAATATTATTCTAGGATATGAATTATAAATAGTACAACACAATTATGAAATGAAGGAAACCGATCAACAGGTTTTTTTATTCTTATTTTCTAAATACCTGTCCGTTGTCCCATAACAATCGATATATTAGACCTTAAGCATAATATATTTAATATAAATATATACTATACTATTTTAAATAACACGATATCATACTAAATGCGTTTGCATAATGTCTCTGGAACGAGAATTGATTGACTCGAAGAATCGAGTGCATCCATTCTTCATGCACATGGATACATAATATTATGTACATTTTATTTTAAAAAATTATTTTTATTTCTAACGTCCATTCAAAAAAGCTGAGCTTGTACGGGGGGGGGGGGGCAAATAAGATGTGCTTTGTAGTGCTTCGGAAATAAAAAAAAAACAACTATTAGGATTATCAATCAATACCGACGACATAGGGCGTATATAGTATTTGTTTACTATGTGTTTCCAAAATTCCAAACATTTAGTAAGGTATACTTGTTATGAAAACAGGTACAAGATGTAAATCAATAAACAATAAAAACAATTATAAATATAAGTTGGCAGTTACTAGAGTTTTCAATGAGCGAACGGACAAGAGTACACAGGAGTAACGAGTTTTGGTTTCTGTGCAGGCCCGTTCACTTGTTGGACATACAAAATAGTTCCAACTACAGTACAATTTTTACTATAACATATCTATGAGTAACCTATGAGGTATGAGAAGGTGCCTTGTAGGTGATCGTAAGTAATAATAATGGGTAGGTAATAGGTATGTTCTGGTGATAAATCGAAAAATAGGAAAAAATATTAAATATGTATTTTTTTTAAATACTCAAACAATTAGTTGGAGTTCAAAAAATTAGGAAAAATTGATGTATAAAAAATTATAATAAGTATATGGAAATAAGTATAATTAAAAATGGAAACCGTGCAGTTATTCAGTGTTCTGGCAAGAGTTTTAATGATTTTATATAAAATAGTAAACATAATAACTTTTGCGTTTGATTAATTATAATGTTTATATTTTATGATTTTAGAAATACTGCTTTATTCGGTTTTCTGAATATATGCGACCCTAAACCAGGAGAAACCGTCGTGATTAGCGCCGCAGCCGGTGCAGTTGGAAGTCATGTAGGACAAATCGCTAAAGACTTGGGGTGTTACGTCATAGGTTTTGCTGGATCTGATGACAAAGTCAAGTGGTTAAAAGAAACTCTCAAGTTTGATGCGGCATTTAATTACAAAACAAAAGATGTAACTGCAGCACTTTTAGAAGCGGCCCCGCAGGGCGTAGACTGTTATTTTGATAACGTAAGAAATATAATAAAATATAAATTATTTGTTAATAAAATAAGATTATTTACTTCGAAGTTTTTTATACTTCAAGACTTAAATCAACATTAGTCATTAGATATAATTAATTATATCTTATATTATAAGAACATAATTTATTAATTACCATGTGTAACATGGGGTACTAAAAACACTATCAAACATATAATACTGGAGTGTCGACAATATGATGAAACAAGAGATGAACTCAAAATGACGATTAGCTTACAAGAAGTGCTAGGAAACCAATCCCACAACGTATCAAACTAATTGAATTTTTTTAAATAATAAAACTGTACAACAAAATGTAATAATTATTTTCTATGTATACTATGGCCCTTATTTAATCATGTATACAGAATTATTGTAAAATGTATAGCTAATGACTCCAGAAGTCGAGGCCCTTATTATAATTTAAAAAAAAATGTATTAATTATTAATAGGACGACTACTTACGTAATATATTTTTATTTATTACCAACAATAGTTTCACTAATTGTTATATATAAATCTACGGTAACTGATAATTACACAATTTTTTGTTTTAAAACATACCTATAAATTACTCACGCTATAATTAAAAAAATTACAATATCTTCTTATCACAATCAACTTGTGTCATTTCAACATAGAAATTATAAATTACGTAATTTAACAGTATTTAAGGGCGGTATGTATTACTCTAACTAGAAAATATTATTAACAAATAATCTCATTAAAAGTTAATTTAAAATAAGTCAATAATTTATATGTTATTCATTACTTATGTATAATGTACATTAGGTTGGAGGAGAATTTAGTAGTGCAGTTATATATCGAATGAACAATAGTGGGCGCGTATCTGTATGCGGATCAATTTCATCGTACAACGCCAATACAAAAGAATTGCCAAAAGGTATACCTTTAACTTTAATCCTTATAAAAGTTGTAATATAACCATTTGAATGTATCTCTTTAGTACCTATGTTACAACCAGCAATTGTTTTTAAGCAATTAAAAATTGAAGGCTTCATTGTAAGCAGATGGGGTGATAAATGGATGAGTGGTATCGAACGAAATTTAAATCTCATCAAAGAGGTGAGTTTAATTAAAAACATGTTCATTCAATTATTAATATTTTTAATGAATTGATAATACGTAAGACTGCGGATTTACATTTAAACCATTAGTTTATATTAATTTTTAATTAATAAAATTGACTATTAAAAAAAATGTTGTTCTTTGCAGGGTAAACTTATTTATCCAGAACACATCACCGCAGGATTCGAAAATCTACCTCAAGCTTTTATGGGCATGTTGAAAGGAGAAAATATAGGAAAAGCATTAGTAAAAGTATAAAAAAAAATATTTCAACAAATAATATATTATTTTATATAATTGTTGATTAGGCATTGATATAATTTTTAATATTTTTTGTTTGTGTTCGCGTACACTTTATTTTTACTTATTAAAATGTATTTTATATTTTGTATACATTCTGTACTTAAAATGCTGATTTTATAGCAACATAATACACAATAGCATTATTACGTTTGCATTACCTATATACTAGTGATAAGAATCCGGAAATTCGGAATTTCCCTAAAGAACGCTATTTAAGTCACTTAAAAATCATAGTTACAAGTATCAAATGTTATTATAATATAAAGCCGTGTATCTAAGTTAAATATTTTAGAGGAAAACACGAGTCAACACACTAAAAATAAAAATTGTTGAAATCCGAAAATCCAGAATTAGAAATCCGAAAGCAATTTACTGTAAAAAAATGGAGCGTTTTTTTTAAAAATTTTTATTAGAACATTTTGCTTAGATACCTACACTTCATACTATAAAAATATTTAATGTTTATAAATTATAAAGTTTTTAATGGGCTTAAAATTTAAATAGCATTTTTATTTTATTTTGAAAAGCCGGTTTTTTAGATTCCCATCACTATTATATACAATATAAATAATATGTTTAAGCCTATTAAGTCAATTAATATATCATATTCAATGTACAGTGGCATATTTAGAAATTTATCATGAACGGGAAAGAGATAATATAATTCCATAGACTATTAGGACCACACTAGTTCGATTTTATACCTCATTGTTTATATCTTTATATTTCTACTATAATGTATTTTTAAAAATTATCTTCATTGAGATTTAAAATAAATAATCAAAATTTAATCACAATAAGAAAGGAGGGGATTGATTTACAATATACAAATACTATTTAGATGTTTAAATCTCGATTAACTAAATCATTAGCGGTTTAATATTTTTTGTTTATTATTATTTTTATATTTAAAACTAAAGCCTTCTTAGGCTATGCAGGTACCATTAAAACACAGAGTTTGAAGCTCTTTAAGAAAACAAAAAAAAAAACGAAGATTTACAATGTTTTTTTGTAAATTGTATTATTCGGAGTCCACACCAAGCCGAGATAGCACTGAAAACTAATATTAGTTAGAGGTCATCACACTGCACACACCCATTATTTTCTTCAAAAAACCCGGCTTGTGCGGATTCATTTTACAAAGGCTATAATCAAAACTAAGAAAACAAATTTTTACATAATATAAACAACAACATTATCTGTGTTCTACCATCGCCCTTTTTTTAATATTTCAACCAGTTAATGAATAATTAATTAATTAAGAAAGGACTTTTTTAAAAATGATATAGCGTTGTTTGTATTAGGTATATCGAAAAAAATACGGATAATAGAACACAGATAATTTTGTCATAAATAATATGTATGAATTTCTTTTCTTAACTATATATGAAGCCTGAGAAAAATTAATCCGCGCAAAGCAGTTTTGATGGCAAAAAAATTGTATTTTATCCTATAGAAATTACTGTGATAGTCTGACAAAAAAAATGGCAATCAACAAAGTGTCCTCAATACTGTATTAATCCTATAATAAGTATACATTAAAGTTCAAACTCTAAATTAAGGTTTTTCGAAAAATTGCCTATACTTTACTCCTTAGAAATGGCCGGTGTGTCGTCCTCTTAATATAAAGTATAAACTATAACAATAGTCCTGCAATTTTTAAATTAAACACAGCATCAATTTTTCAGGGTCTCATTTTAAGTTTATCAATATATTCTTCCATATCAACACGAATAAAAAAAATCTAAGCCTAATGGAAGCTATTTATATGAAAACTTTAAAATAATAGTTCCATTCATAAGTTATAAAAAAAAGTTATTTGAACAAGTTTTTGAAATAAAAGTTGGGGTACCACTTACCTACGATACTTTATAAGGTACTAAAAAGGTACTAATAATAATAATAGACTAATAATTTCACGCTTTCCCTTCGAAATTAAGGAAAAATTCCATCAAATTTATCAAGTATATCATATTTGTAATAAAAATTAAAATTTTAGTGCTTTTTTGTTCGTAAGTTCAAAGTCGTGCCACGGGGAGAGTTCCCATGGAAGATAACCTTAGGGAGGCCCCACTTCTATAATCATGGTGATGAAGAAGGGAGGAAAATGTAGGTTTAGAAGGGGATGTAAATCGAAGTATCTCAGGGATATCTTTAATCGTTATCAGGCCGCCATGCTATTGTTTCTAACATTTTAAAATCATAATATTATTCTTTAACAGACCCAAACACAAAATAAAATAACAATATTTTAATAAATTTAATTATTATTAATGTAAGAACGTATGTATAAATAAAAGAAATCGATTCAGTTGTTTTCGGAAATAAAAATAAAATAATAAAAATTGTAATATCAGTAAAAAATTATACATTTTTAATTTTGCGTCAAAACTTGTATTTTAAAATAAACTGAATATCATTAATATATTGTGTTAATTATTGCACATTTTTTACTTTTTCGAATGAAGATGTGCTAGTGAATGTGTACTAGCGAAAGGAAGTAGAAATATAATATAGATTATAGCGGGTGAAGGAACAGATATCTATAACAAGCGCTATTAACGCATCATACAAATAATGTTATGGTAAAATGATTAAAATATGTTAAATAAGTTGGTAAAATTAATATTGTTATCTATTAAGAATTAAATGATGTTTTATACATTTGCATGGATCTGCACTCATCATGGATTACCTATCAGTTTCTAATTTCTACGACCAACATAGACTAGATGGAGCATGCATGTAGTTCCAGCGAACCGACGTGCCTGCACTGACGGCTAGACCTGATGACGTCACCAGGTCTACTGCTCACGCGCATTTGAGTTCGTATATACGTACATGACATGTGATTGTGTATGTATATACGACAATAGCCGAGCTCGTTCCCAACCCACCCGCATCTCGCCCGGATGCTCCGTCTAGTAGTATAAGTCTATGGCGGCCAATGACAGCTCCAATTTTTAAACTCTTTGGCAATAATTTTATTCTCTTAGCTTCTACCACGGTTGCGGTATTGTTAAACACCTGATTGATAAAACATTTTTTTGTTGTTTTAGCTTTATCTGTTTAATTGATTACGATTATACAATCCTTAATGGTAAATGGTTTCAGTATTTGGTAAAATATAAGGTGGTGTGTTAAATTACTTTTCGATATGTGTTTTGATGAAGTGTGGTGGTCCCGTGCATTTTTAATTGAGTTTTAGTAATAACGATAATATCTTATCATTTATATTCATATTTTGTGAATCGTCAATATTAGCATGTTAAGGAGAAGCCTGAAAAACTCAAAGAGGCTTTTGAACCACCCGACTACACTGCGCACCATCATATGTCAAAGGTCGCCCAGGAAAAAATATGGTTAGTAATTAAAACGTTGTTGGCTTTTGCAATTATATTGAGTGTAACGATTTATACATAATAACATACAATTTAAATTATTGCACTATTGTAATATTGGCAGAATGTTATCTCTTCTAGTTAAGATTTATTAAAGATTGTTTAGTTTACCATAATATCATCTATTAACTTTATCATGACGAGAATAATAAGGTAAATTGATTGTATGGCAAGTATGGTGAATTCATCCATTCAATCAAGTGAGTAATACATATAATTTTTTAGTCCTCTATAGCGATTCAAATCAACAAGGCTTTTTTTATATTTAATAATTTAATTTTCTTAACAATAATTTTGTCACAGTTTAAGCTAGTCGAGCCCAGGTCCAATTAAATATTTCAGTTAAAAGCTTATAATTTATAAATGCCTTGGTCTAAAATGGGCATTTGCCACATTGTATGCTGTTATGTCTAAACTTAAACTCTAAAAATAATTTCTAAAGCTAAATAAACTGTTATTTTATCAATAATAGCCCAGATTATTTAGAGATCTATGTTTCTTAAATAACAATAAATATCACTTATTCCTAAGGTTTAATATGTTGTGACAACCCTATCGTCTTTAGCAACATTTTCCATATTGAATTAGTGGTAATAACTAATACAACAATATAGAGAATATTAGGAATATAGTTCCGATAAAAAACAAAAAGTTTACATATTTTAAAGTTTAAAAGCTTTATGTTAGGTTATTTTTGTATTAACATTTAATATAAACATTTAAAATGTTTGATACACAAAAATTAGATAAAATGATTTGTTTTTAACTCCAGTACTATTTATAAGAAATTCTTATGTTTATACACAAGTACAATTAAAACTGTATATGCTAATCATTATGGTGTGCGGGTTTCTAGTGGCTGCATAGTATCTATAGAACAGATAAGAAAGTTAAAGTGATAAATGAGTATAATTTTTACATTCCTAATTTTTCTTACAATTAGATATTATACTTATTTATTAGAAATTCTAATTGAAACCCCCATTATTATGGAAAATGGTAGGAATGATATATTATAAATTATAATATACATAATTTAAAAAATATACAGTTTAAACAAATAATGGCGGTAAAATGCCTCAAGCCTTAAGTAGCCAATGTCCATTTGATTACTGATTTTTGTTTGTAGAGGGTTTTATCCACAGTGTGTAGGTTGTAGGAAATGAGAATTCAAGAAATGGATGTTATTACGTTAATAGTAAATATATTTGAAATAAAAACTTTCTAATATTGGGAATTCTCGGATACCTATGTATCGTACATAATTATTTATTAGCATATAATCAATGATTCATTTGTTTGATGTTATTATGTATTACGAGTGATAAATGTTTTTGAGAATACAGGTTAGGTTATCTTCAGCATTTATTTACTTGTAGTACAGGTTTTTTTAAAAGTCATGTGATGCATAAATACTGTCGAGATTTTTGTTGCTTGTGGATACTTTGATTTCCAGTTGCGACTTTAAAACAATAAGGACCCTGTACATAATGGCCCCTTTTTTCATAGGAATTAAATCAAATTAATAATTATTTAAATTATAACTATAATTTTTTTACATTATTATATCTTAATCGGATATGACATTGTATCCGAAATCTTGTTATCTTTCGAATTTATAATAAGTGTTTTTGCTCTAGACCCACTATGGACTAAGTAAAATGCATTCTGCGTAGCTATGTTAGGATGAAATTTTTTTTTAAAAAGTTGTCAAGAAATTTACGCAAATTTACACATCACAATTTAACCATTAAATTAAGATTTTGCAAAAAAGTGCCTATACCTAACTGTTTAATAGATATGAGGTGTAATGTTTTCTTAAACAGTTTTTCTAAATACTTTTATTAATAAATTTTACACATAAAAAAAAAAATTTGAGAGTCTAGTGTAAAATTTGCTGGGAACTTCATTCGAACCTTATTTTGGTATTGAAATTATTGCAGTGGTCTGTTAAATAGTATATAAAAGTAAATTATTATTTCATTAAGCAACTTCTAGAAAAAAGGTGACTATTATGCTCTATTTCTATTAAGACAAAATTTTAAATATTGTTTTTATAAGTATCTTAAATAAACAGAGCTAGATGTTAGATGTTTAAAAAATTATAATTAAAATTATGATGGATAATTATAATTAATAAATAATATGATTGTGACGAAAAGAGGTAAGAAGAGGAATGACGTGATTGGTAAAAGCAAAGAAAATTAATAATTTCATCAAATTTTTTGTTTTACATGATGCCAGATGTTATTTTATTATAATTAAAAAATGGCAAATTAATAATTTCTACAGTTAACTTAAAATTATATGAAGTATTATTTTTTAATTAACAGAAAATTATTTCTATTTATTTATCGATACACAAAGTAAAAATGTAAGTAATGCTATATATATATTATATATTATACATTATAAGTATATATGTAAAAATCTAATAAATATTTGCATTATTATTTATAAACCTTTTAATTGTATATAGAATAACCATTGGCTTAGCATGTAGGGTTTGCTGCAACATGCCAACTCTGGACTTTTGGGTCGATTTAGTAATATATAAATACTATTTCTACCTATTTTGTATGAACACTGAACATATTTTTCTGCCTCCATCTATGACACCATTTATGTTATAATACTTGTATTTGTGTGTTTATTGAATGTGCAACGTGTCTCAAAATATTTTCTGTTAAATTAACATAACATTTCTGAGTAAAATTTGTAAAAGTAAAAATCGCGTGTAAATTTCGTAATTTTTATTTTTAAGCATCATATTACTAACATTTTTAACTAATGAATTATTATTTAAAAATTGAAAATTTTTTGAAGTTCTAGATGCGAGTATTGTTGTTTATATTCTTCTTATAGTATTGTCTGATCTTTAATTTTTGTTATACGACTCGTTCGATACAAAAGGTTTGTATTATGATGAGAAACAATCATCGTTTCCAATTGGCTTACGATTAATAGTCACGCGATCGAATGATCAGACATAAAGAATGATTACATTGCACTTATCCATCTTTTAAATAGACTTTGTTTTATTAAAATTATTCTATTAACAATTTAAAACTAAACGGCTGAAAATAAGAGAGTTTATATCATGTTGTTTGTACTTATAATCGTGACATTTATCAGTAAGTACCTTAGTACAACGACTCACAGTTGCACGAAAATAATTTTTTTTCTTGGTAAATTAGCATGTATTATGTATTAACTAATAAATTACATTTGAATTTAATTTGATAAAAAAAATGATTTGATGTATTTGTATTGCCTGTTGAATACATTTGTCAAGAAATAAAATACTTATTGAATTCATTTATTTTCTGGTTGTCATTAGCATTTAAATGTTTAAATGTAATTTTTTTTTGTATTAATTGTTATGATTTCCGATTGTTGATAAAAATTACTTTATTGGAAAAGGAGCGATTAAGATTTGGTCAACCTTTTTTTCTAAAGGAGAGTTAACAGGACGCATTGGCCACCAATTTCGTATTCAGCTTAAAAAAAATATTAAATTTTAACGCCGAAAATGTGTTATATTAAAACTCTCATTTTAAAAATTAGGATTTTTGAAATTTGGAGATTACTACTCGGAAACCTTATCTATTAAACTGAACATTTTACCATTTTAAAAGGCATCATCTTTTTCTTTAAGACATATTTTTGAAAAAAAACATGCTATATACACTAGATATACATTTATTTAACTTGCAGAGAAGCTAGAGAGGGAGTTGTCCTCCTGCCCCCCTCCCTGTGGGTGCCATCAGGGATGTGCGATTATTTATCAACGAACACAATTTAAAAATACGCTTGTTTATTCATAAAATGAATTATTCAAAATTCAAAACAGGGAATAATTCGAGTTATTTATTCAATTCAATTAACGAAATAAAAAAAATTATAATAATAATGAAAAAATCTATTACTTTGTTTGTTTTATGTATAACATGAAATTCTATACAAGTATGTATTGGGACTTTACGAATATTTTTCATTTTTATAATCCTGCATTTCGTAATCTGGCACCATTGGAATAATTAGTATATTATTTTACAGTACACATATTCATATTTAGGTTTATTTAAAAAAAAATTAAACTTCTGGGAGGTTTAATTTGAGTTAAACTAAAATATTTAAACTACAAAAAAATAATCATATCTGATTTTTATACAGTAATACTTACTCATATTGTGTATTTATATATATATTACCTAAATGTTAACCGTTATTATAGCAATATTCCAATTTCCAGACTGTAATAATTATTTTATTGTTTTACTAGTGGTTTTAAATATATTATTAATATTTGTACCATTTTTTTTAATACTCTATTACTCATGTCTCTAATATTTTTGTTATTACATAGAAGGTGTATCTAAGCGTTGCCATTATAAATTAAATCGTGTACGAAGGATATTTTTTTATTTTCAAGCAAACGCCTAACGGTTTGCGCGTCGTTAATAGAGTTTAATTGTATGCAACAGCTACAGCTGACACTACCCGCTACCGGTATGTGATAAAACGCAGACTTAGTAGACCATAGTTGACTGGTATATCAGCATTTTAATAAAAACCATACCAGTTTATCGTAGTACAACTATACTAACTGTAATCTCTTCGCCAATTATGAAATGTAAATCATTAGACTATATTTATGTAAAAATGGTATTATGTAGGTATTATGCAATATACCTAACCCAATATTTTGATTTACTCATTTTTATCAGAGATAGCGAGGACATTTTAAGACCCATTCCTTTTTTAATACATAATTATTAAGTAATTTAAAAAAATAATTTATTTTATATCCTTCTCGAGCTTTTCATGTCTTATTCGTTAACCCTTATGTTATATCAGTTTAAGAAACGAGTAGTTGGCTACCGAAATCTCACTATCTATATGATATTAGGGTTTATAATATAACAAAGTATTTTAAATGTCCGTATAAGTAACGTGGT